AAAAAATTACCGTCGAGCGGGGGGGGGGGGTATATACTTCCCTTAAAACCGCAAAAATTCCCTACATTTCCCTACAATTTCCCTATGTTTTACCCATATTTCAACTGCTCCATTTTCTAGGGGGTATATACGCGCGCTGAAACGGCAAATTTTCTCCCGCGCCGCTCCCCACTCATCACATGCAACTTCTTACAACCGAAGCAAGTACGACCCCCCCCTACAAACTCATCAAAATACGACCCCCCGTTGCTACTTGTAGCAACATAGGGTTGACCCTGGTCGGAAAGTGTGCCCACAAGGCCCTTCTGAGAACAAGTCAGTCTAGCGAATAAGCTGTCATAACGCCAAACTAGCGCAAGATGATCCTGTATCCAGGATGGATGCTATGTTCGTGATCAGGCCGTTTATTTGCTCCCATGGGAAAGTACTTTGAAAAATAAACAAAGTAGTGAGGATTAATTAAAGAAATCCTCCCCGTGAATTCTCGCATTCTTCCCAACATGACTATGTCTGAACATGTATTACCACCAGAGACAAAATTTCACGCAACAGGGCTCAGTTTCCAAGGAGAAACAAGCACACGAGCAGCGCACTCTATGGACGGTCGAAGGTATATGGGTCGCGCTGCGCTAAAGGCCGCGCATGGAAAGAAGTGGCTCTGGGATGCCACCTCGGAGGCTCGATCATCATCTTTATGACGAAATAATTAAACGATCAACTTCAATTTGAAAGCGAGGTCGCCTACTTTTCTAACCCGCACTCCCCTGGTTTTGGAGGAGCATCAAGAAATTTTCTGAGCGTTGGACAAAGAGTGGACACTCATGGTAGATCCAGACCGGTCAGATGCTTGTAAACAAAAAGATAAAATTCACATCAAAAATGGGAAAAGCGTTGCAGAACTTTCCTTCCAATAGTAAGATGTCATCATGGGTTAGATAGAACTGTGGTTTTTTTCCGGAATCTCCCTTTTCCTTAAACTCGCCTTTTATAACAGTAGTACAGGTAGTACATCGTGCTAATTTTCACCGTTCATGCCTCAATTGGAAGTTCACATTTTTAAGTTTTTTTTTTGCCATACCCGCTATTTTAAACTGAATTCCTTTCTCCAGTGTTTATGCAACTTTTATGGAAAGCTGATAGCTTTCGTTTTTGAGTGAGTAACCTGTTCCATTTTCTTGGTCATATCTCGAATGTAGCAGGAGCTTGTGTTTTGGTTTGACCAAGGGAACATCAAGCAAGGGTAGCAAGTATGCGAAGCTCATTAGGGTGATGGATAGGTAACAGAAACGACTGGTAGAAGAGAGATTATAGAGGGGGATACCATTTGGATATCTCTCACTCCTTGGTCACACTCCGCCAAGACTTACCATATTTCTTTTCTGGCCCTTGCTCCATCCACAGAATGAATGTACGCTAAAGTGGCGTTGCAACCGTATGTAGCTGTCGACCAACGTAATCAAAAAATTGGCACATTGATTGCCCACCACTCAGTGAACGTACCTTGTAAAGCAGTGCTCGGTTCACTACACCTTCACATGCATAACAAATTGAGCTATTAGGTCTCTTTAGTTCTTAGCCGGTACAACTCTAAAATCAGTCTATTGTGCTCCTAAGCTTTATAAGTGACTGGTCTGGTCACATGATGTATACAGGGGGGGGGCAATAAAAAAAGACATTTTGTCTCCACTTCCAGATGGATTTAAGCACACTTTGCTCAATTCAGACCGAATGGTTCCAACTTATTATTGAAGAGCGCATTTCATTCTATAAGAAAATCTTCATAGTGGCCACCTACGTGGACGGCATCAGAAGAATTTGCCCTGGAAACATGGTGCACTGGTCGAGCTCAATGGGGTCTTCGAAGGATCGTGTACCATAACGACCTTTACTGGAAAGCTAGTTTCGAGGGGATTTGCATAGTGGGAGCTAATGCCTCTAGAAAACTATCCAACATTAAATCGATTCACGAAATTGCGTAAGAGCTTCAGGCTGAAGCAGTTACGTAGACCTCCTTGAGCTGACGACGGTGACAGATGACGTCATATTCTGAAGACGGTGAGGGCAGTGAAGGAGGGCCTGCGTTCACTTATAGAGGGACATTAGGGAATACTCTGCTGAGGAACTCCCGTCAACGACGGCAATCTCTGCGAAGAAAAAAGGGCCGAAGTGCGACATAGGGCAAAATGTCTTTTTTTTTGCCCCCCCCCCCTGTATACACGTTCAACGCGGCTCTCCTTGAGGCACATTCGCGATCGAAATTTGTGGTTACTTTTGTAGTCTCGAAAATAAAAGTGGTGTGACCATTGGCGAATGCAGAAGTTAAACGGATTTGCAGATATTGACAATTTGTGTAACAACATTCATCACTAGTTACCGCTATACTGAAGTCATAAACTGCATCTATGCTCGAAGGCACAACCCAGGCAGAGGTCGTGTGAACGCTTCTCTTCGGTCTGTAGCAGGGTGAATATCGGTCGAGGAAATCCTCGACAGGGGGGTCGTACCTGTTGGGCTGGTCCATGGGGGGTCGTACTCTTGGGGGTCAGTAACAGAAGTGGTATCATGGTGCAGATAGGTAATAGGGTATAGCGCAGCAGAAAATGAAAACATCCGAAAAAAAAACATGATATTAAATTTTCTTTGCAGGTTCAGTCGCTCCATTCCTCCACCTTCATGAGAAGGGCGTATTTGAAGGCAGTACAAAGAATGAAAGTGCATCCCCGCAAAGAAGAGTGCCACATGTGCGCACGCGCTGCAAAGGCACCTCCTCCGCCTATCACTCGCTCCTTCTCCCTTAATACCTCGCTGAGAATGACGCTGTTGTTAGGGACCCTGTCGGAAAAACGACAACCGTGAAGAAAAAGCGCTGGGCAAATGAAGTTGTTTTTTAGGTTACAGGAATA